ACTCAAAATACTATCCCTAGCTAGCTAGCCATATTACCTCCTGCCCCAGCTCATCAGTCCTTGATGAGTAGCGTTTAAAGTAACATCCCTAACACCTTCCGTGCTTCCTCCTCCGTCTTGGCCCACTGGAGCTCCGATGCAAGTGTAATTGCCCTCCGAAAGGACGTGCCCTAGAAAGAAATCACTTGCCGGTGCTGGTGGAAGTGGCGGTGGGTAATGGGAATGGGAATGGAAAGACAAGAGACGCTGAGGTGGCAGTGGCGGTGGGGAGGCTGGAAATAGTCGTGTCGTCGGGTACATTGGTCGGAACCCCAAACCCGGGTCCACCATGTGCGAAATTGGTTGCCCACTGTTAAAGTAGAGTAAATTAATTTTCAGAATAAAAGGAAAAATTTCAATTCTGGTCCGTTAATTTGTCTAAAGTCTGGTTTTGGTACACTGACTTACTACTCCGTATAAAAAATAGTAAGTTATGTTGCAATTTGTATCATTTTTTGGACATTACTAATAAAAAAACAGTACATTACAATTTGTATCGATTTAAGGACATTAATCCTAAAAAATAGTGATACAAATTTTGGGATAATGTCTAAATAGTGATACAAATTACAACATGACGTACTATTATATATTGATGAGAGGAAGTTAGTGTACCAAGAAAATATTTTAGACAAATAAACGGACCAAAATTGAATTTTGTCAAAAAAAAAAATATTAAGAAGTAATTGAATGGTGGATGGGGTTGATTAAATTTAGGTTACCCTGAAACATAACCCAAGTGATTTGGTGCTAAGTCATTACTGAACACCAGTTGACGGGCCTTGTTCAGTGTTTCTGTCTCCCTTTCTGAAAAACAAACAAACCATTTTTCTTTTTAATTAAAAATACAAAACAATATTAATCAAATGTGAAGAAACAAACATTTCAAATTTGTGAAAAACTACTTAATTATTTGAACAATATATCATAGGTTGGCGCGGAATTCGGAAAAGCACCTTTGTTAACTTCAGACACATTAGACTACGAACGATGTTACACATGTCACATTTAGGGAGTGCAAATTAGCAAATTACATTGTGAATAATAAAATCCGAATTGTTTGCATATATATATACTAGTGTACAATCAATCAGTACCATTTAGTGAATTGAGGAAAAGAATTAACATGCAGTTTGGTTTTATTTAATGTGAATAAAATTTAGGCACATTACACATGTCACATTTAGGCGGTGCAAATAAGCAAACTACATTACATTATGAATAATTAAATTCGAACTGTTTGCATATATATATATATAGGGAAATTAAAAGAATTAACATGCAGTTTGGTTTTATTTGATGTGAATAAAATTTAGGCACATTACACATGTCACATTTAGGCGGTGCAAATAAGCAAACTACATTACATTATGAATAATTAAATTCGAACTGTTTGCATATATATATATATAGGGAAATTAAAAGAATTAACATGCAGTTTGGTTTTATTTGATGTGAATAAAATTTAGGCACATTACACATGTCACATTTAGGCGGTGCAAATAAGCAAACTACATTACATTATGAATAATTAAATTCGAACTGTTTGCATATATATATATATAGGGAAATTAAAAGAATTAACATGCAGTTTGGTTTTATTTGATGTGAATAAAATTTAGGCACATTACACATGTCACATTTAGGCGGTGCAAATAAGCAAACTACATTACATTATGAATAATTAAATTCGAACTGTTTGCATATATATATATATAGGGAAATTAAAAGAATTAACATGCAGTTTGGTTTTATTTGATGTGAATAAAATTTAGGCACATTACACATGTCACATTTAGGCGGTGCAAATAAGCAAACTACATTACATTATGAATAATTAAATTCGAACTGTTTGCATATATATATATATAGGGAAATTAAAAGAATTAACATGCAGTTTGGTTTTATTTGATGTGAATAAAATTTAGGCACATTACACATGTCACATTTAGGCGGTGCAAATAAGCAAACTACATTACATTATGAATAATTAAATTCGAACTGTTTGCATATATATATATATAGGGAAATTAAAAGAATTAACATGCAGTTTGGTTTTATTTGATGTGAATAAAATTTAGGCACATTACACATGTCACATTTAGGCGGTGCAAATANGGGTAAAATTAAATGAGGAGATAAATATAAAGAATATTAGAGATTTTAATTTTGTGGGGTTGAGGGCTACATACATGGAGCTAGCCGACAGTGAAAGACACAGATGATGGAGAAAAGAAAAGGGAAAAAAAAAAATTGAAAAGCTAACAGAAAACAAAGGAAAAAATGGTTGTGAGAGATCAAAAATTTTCCTTTAGAGAAGTAAAAGGTTGGGGGTGAAAATTTTGTAACAATAACTTTCAGTTTGGGACTGAAAAAATTTGTAGAGAGAAGGTAGTTTAGTTGAGTGAAGTTGAAGAAAGGAGTGTGGTTGAATGTTCTCTATCAGTTTTTTCTGCCAGCCTCTGTGGAGACATCTCTCTCTCTTCTCTTTCTCTCTCTAGAATTGAAAGAACATAAAAGAGATATCATAGATAGAGTTAATTGGCCTCTCGTGACTATAAAAAAGCAGGTAATAAAGAGTGAAGCCAAGGGCTTCTTGAGAGGGACTTGGCCTTGTGTTTTTTCTTGGCTCTCTATGTTAGCTTGCTAGGTTTATTGCCCTAGCCTCTAGGGCCAATTAATAGACAGAAAGAGAGAGAAAAGAGGGTAATAATCAAGAATTTTTAAATAAAAAGTGATTAATATTGAAATAATAATAAAAGTGATGAAATGAATTGAGACCACATACATAACAATTAAGGGAAAAAATCAATTTTGTCCGTTTACTTGTCTAAAGTCTTTTTTTGGTACACCAACTTTTCCCTCATCAGTAATAGTACGTTATGTAGCCATTTGTATTACTATTATCGGGACATTATCCCGAAAATGGTTCATTATTTTTTAGGATTAATGTCTTAAATAAAATGATACAAATTGCAAAATAACAACGAGTAATGTCTCAAAAATGATACAAATTGCAACATAACTTACTATTTTTGATAAGGTGAAAGTGAGTGTACTGAAAAAAGGATTTTAAACAAGTAAACGGGCGAAAATTGAAATTTTTCGTAACAATTAACATACAGCTAGACTAGAGGATGAAAAGTTGTATTGGTGCAGATAGCATCAAACCCTAGTGGTTCAATTGTGCAGTGCTAAAGATAAAAATGCCTTAAAAGGGCAGTCAAGACAAAGGGTTTGCCTTTTAGACATGACTGTGCAGTTTAGATGAGTTTTCATGTAATAAAGAGCACGCTGGAGATGATCATAAGTAGTGTAATGGCATATGGAGCCTATGGCCTCATGGGTGGGTGTCATTGTACTCGTGTACTACCCATTGACAAGTTTCTATCAATTTACTACTTGAAATCCCAACACACCATTAATCATATATTTTCTTTGGGTTATAATGTATGAGCTAGTATATATGTATGAGTTTCATGTGCAACATTTTATATATTGTAATAGTTTTTTTCTTATTATATTATATGTGTGATATATATATTGGTGAGGAGTCTAGATTTATTTGACACCACACATTAAGTAAAATTAAAAACGGGTGATTGTGAGTAATTAACAATGTTAGACTCATCTTTCAACATATACTTACTACATGTGTTCTTATAAGTTCTACTTTAGTTTATTGCTTAGGATGTATTTCATTTTGACATTTTTTAATTAATATATTATGTTGTTTAATAAAATTATTAACACGTTTTATATATGTAAAACTAAAATATGGTGTATGCATGTATTGCTTACTATATAGAGTTGTCACATTAATCAAAATAATATTATACACTATTATATATGTTATAATGTTACTAAACACAAAAATTTGAAAATTCACTATTTATAAGTAGAGATTTAAGGGTCTAATCTATGTTGTCTGTTATTGGTTATATGTAGTTTTAATTATATGTGTTGTGATCACACTGCTTATGATTCTACAATGATAGAGAAAATTAGCTTCTATCACTTTTATCATAAAATCTAGTAATTATTTTAAAAAATTGCCGGAGAAGCTCCATAATAAACCAAGTTTATGAAAATTAAGCTCCCCAATGCATATACATCAATGTACAAAATTCATTTCACGATAAATAAGTTAGAACAGTGCTTGTACATCATTTTTATACATAATAGTATACATACATTCACATGAGGCAAGAACCATCTTTAAAAAAAAAAAAAAATGTCTCTCATCACATATGAATGAATATTCGCCTAACAAAATACTTTATATGTACAATTAAGTAATTATATAATGATATAATTTGTAAAGAATGGAATATTTAATTCTAGTATAGAGTAAATCTAAATTCCATTAAAATATATCTGTATTGGAACTTTTCTTTGGAATTTCTTCATTTTGTTGTAGTGGTACCTAATTTATGTACAATTAAGTAATTATATAATGATATAATTTGTAAAGAATGGAATATTTAATTCTAGTATAGAGTAAATCTAAATTCTAACTTTGACAAGATACAAAAGATATTGTTCTACCGTTTGATCCAACTGAAATGTCACATCCTACTGACCATAGCCTTGTCTCCAAGTAGCACTTGCGAAATGAATTGCACATATGCTACTTTTTATTTACAGTAGGATGGGGTCATGGGATCTACAACTCATAGTTGCAAAGCTTGGGCTTAGTTACAACCACAAGTCAACTAAACGGCCCAATATGTAGTCTTCACTTTCTTATTTCTGGGCCTCACTGAAAATAGGAAGCCCAGCTAAGTTTTCCGGCCAGGGTTCGTTCAGGCTTACTTTTTGAAAACTTTGATGAGACTGCGTTAGTTAAAAACAAAATTATGAATAATCAAAAACTAAAAAAATTATGCATAAATCATATTATACATTAAAAAAATAATATAATATGGAAAGTAATAATCAAAATAAATTGCAAATCAACTATTCAGACACGTTGAAAATTGGTATAATAAAAAAACTTCGTAAATACAAAAATAAACATAATTTGTAGATCAGCGGCGTAATTTTCTCTATTTACTTTGCATAGAAATATGGTCAAATGAACTGTAAATGAGAGTCAATAAAATATATGTGCATTTATTGATCAAATGATCAATACGGGCATAGAAGGATATTACTATATATTACCTCATATTCTTTTTAAATGTTATTTTGGTTTTATCAACCATTAACCAAATAAAAGATGTTTTGGATCTTTTGTACATATTTTTTCATTATTACTCTCATTTAGTTAATAATTACATTATGTTTTTTCATATTCACTCTTCATCTTTTCTCAAAACATCCATCTCTATCTTCATTAATGAGGGTTATTATTGGCAAAAACAAAAAGATTCTTAATTACTGTGCAATTTCTCAAAGCAACACTTATTATGAATAGGAGGAAGTATAAGTTAATTAAATTGAACCCTATGTAACGAAAATGATAACAGTGTTCTTTCTTTTACAGAATACCTGACATTCAACCTGAATAAAAATAGAACGGGATCTGCTCCCCTACCCACCGTGGGCAGGGAATTAATATGTCTACTGCTTATGTGGCATGTACACATTAAGCATATTAATTCTCTCACACTGCTTATGCCCAATGTATACATGCCACATAAAAAGTGGGCATATTAAATCCCTACCCACCATGGGTAGGGGAGCAGATACCAAAATAGAACACTTAGGGGGAAGATTGGTAAGCAGTCAAAACAAATTAAAATCGATCAAAATCGATCCTGAGTTAAAGTAAGTTATTTTGAATAAGGTTGATTGAGTGAG